AACCAAGGTGGTCCTGGCTTATGGATTGAACAGAAGTAGAGTGTACATGGCCTGTAAGGCTCAATGCAAGGCCTGCAGGCTTCCTTTCTTCCTATTCCTACGATGCAGATATGTCCCAGAGTGCACTTGGTTATCACCCAATGACTTTGAACAGGACCTGGAATCCTCCACTATTGCTTTAAGGCCCCAAGGTTTGAGGCTGCTATTCTGACCTGAGCATACTCCAACCACATTACTGATACGGGCAAGAGTGACAATCTGCCTTTTTACTGGAAACGAAAGTGGAGCCATCAGCAGAATTTGAGACTGCCAGGAGGAACCATAGGTAGAAAGGTCCTCCTGGCCACATACATTTTCAGCCTGGGCACACTTGAACCCTGTGAAAGTGAACCCCAAAGAAAAGACTAACCAGGGAGGGCCAGCAACTGGCAGGACAGGTGCATTGACCATGGATCTGCAGTGAGGGTGGGTCCTTTCTTGAAAGCTGTGGCCCTTTTTGTTCAACCAGTCCTGCTGAAAGGCTGTCCCCTAGCAGTTCCCTGGATAGATCTACTTGTCAGAACCAAGCTCCCAGCCTTTGTCTCCATTTCTTTCCTCAGGAGACAGCTCTGCCACCCAGCCAGCCCCTTATGCCCCTCCTCCCTTGGCCTGTCCGGGAGGGGCATAATCTGTCCACCAGTGCCCACCTGGTGATCAGTGCCCACTGAGCACTCCTCAAGGCCAAGATGTCTCCTCTATACCCTGTTGACCCCAGGTCCTGAAGCAGCCTCTGCCTGGCACACACACCACAGAGCAGATCTGGCTGCCACACTTACTGAGTAGCCACGAGGGGGACATGGTCACTCCTGTTTTACTCAGGGGACACTGGGAGCTCAGAGACATCTGTCCTGACTCTTGGGGCTGTCACACAGGGGTATCTTGCCTCAGCCACTCAGCCACCCACCCTCAAGCCAAGTTTCTTAGGCTCCCCAAGACCCCCACGTGGAGGGAGGAGAGCCTGCCGTCTGCAAAGGCATGTTTTCATTAGCAAAAGATGAATAATTAATGCCATGGCGCCTTTGAAAACTGTTTTGGTTTTTATTTTAAACAATTTTCCTATGTATAGAAGCAGCACTTCCGTTAGCACAAAATTTATTTTTTAATAAACGTGGCAGGTATTTATTCAAACTCAGGTGCTCCCCAGGGCAGGCTAGCACAGGGACACTGCCTTGGAGCCCCATCATCTGTGAACCCAGTCACTTAGGCACCCACCGGGGACAGAGGTCAGTAGGAGAGCCCTGGCCAGGACCCAGAGCTGCACAGTGCCTGAGAGATGACTTACCTTGACCTCCCTCATCACAGCCTGGGACTGTGACAGGGGATAAACCTCACATGAAAGATCCTATAGAAGCGTGGCAAGACTACCCACCTCAGAAGGGCAGACTGTGTAGCCTGTGGGGTGCGAGGCTCAGCCTGGGCAGAGACCCAGTCACATCACCCACAAGGTCCACCTTCCTTTGGTTGCACAGCCTGGGGCCCAAACTGGGGGCTGAGATAATTCATGGGCTCTGTAATTCTCTGGGCTGAGAGGTGGGGAGTCTTCATTTCTTGGCTCTGTGAGAGTCCATCCACAAATCTCATTACTTGGTGCTTTTTCAGAGATTAAGTCAGAAACACTTATTTTAAAATTATAAGCCAAGGAGAGTTTGAAGAAGAAAAAGAATATGTTGTCACTTTGCAAATGAACCTCCCCAGCAGGAGACAGAACTGGCCCAGGAGCCAGATGCCAGAGACCCTCTAGTTTGTTCACAGCCAAAGTCAAAGGCATGAATGTCCCACCCCCACCCCGACATCCTGCCCCCGCCCCTGCACTTCCTAGTTTGGACATGATGTTAAAGAAAAGAATTAGGATGCAGATTTTTTTCTTGCAAAAAGTCATTAATTTTTTAAAGTGTGCAATATTGTCCTCAACAAAACACATAAAGAATGAGTTGTCTGCTTCTAATAAATATTTTCTAGATTAAGTATTTGTAATGCTATCAATTATTTATCTCCATATATGGAGAATACATAATTTGTAATAAAATGTAGAAAGGGTTTTAATTTTTCTGCACAATATACGAAATTGAGTTTTTGACTAATACACGAATAAATTGACTCTAATCCTTTCCTGTCACAGTGGACAATATTGTTTTAGGTATAAATCTCTTATTTTATAGATGTTTTCAAAAAATTAATCTCTGATATTTAGGGATCAGTGTAAATCTCCATAACAGGGCATTTTGGCAGGTTTTCATTTATGTCTTGTCTTCTCTTCCTCCTCCTCCTCCTCCTCCTCCTCCTCCTCCTCCTCCCCCTCTTCCTCCCCCTCCTTCTCCTCCTCCTCTTCTTTCTCCTCCTCATGTACTGCACCCCCCCAATCATTAGCCCCACACACCAAAATCACACCAGGGCTCCATAAACACCTAGAAAGTTTCATAACTTACAAAACCAATGTCGACTTGACTGTTAATAAAGTGGTGTCAGACCTTTGGTTAGACAGGCAGGCCAAAGGCTCCACAACACATGGACACAAGACAAAGACACAGCCAGGATCATCCACAGGAAAAAGGGTTGTGGTCACAGCTAAAGGAGCAAGCCTAGCCCTAATTCCATGATTCAGAGTCTTGGGGCTGAAGGCAGAGTGGGGTTACTATGCCAAGTGGTGAGCAGAACCTGGGACTCATAATCTTTAATTCCACATACCTGGTTGCAAGGCTGGAACTCATCTGGGGAAGCAGTAACTGCACCAAGAACTGGCCTTAAACCCTGTTCTACACTGGAGACCAAGGAAGCCCTGTTTCCTGCTTGGATGTGACCTGGCCAAAACAGGAAGACTTCCTGAAAGAGTATATATGATGTGGGCTGTAACACTTAGGCATGCCCTAGCTTGCTTTGTGACTCTAGTGAATCTGCCCCTACTCTGAGTCTCAGTGTCTCTACCTGGAGTCACAGCACCCAAGTTCGAGCCCCTACAAAGTAATGTCTCCTAGACCATTTCCACTATAGAAATGTAGGGCTGTCAACTCTTCACAGTGGCAGGGATACAAGGATAGCTGAACTCCAAGGGACAGACCTGTGGTAGGCATCGGGGCAGGGTGGGCCAATCACAGTATGTGCCTAGTTTCCTGGCCACAATAATTGGATGGAGTGGAGATTCATGTGACTTGAGCCAGGCCAATCAGAGTACTTCCCTGGAATTTTCGAAAACAAGTAAGGAATCAAGTAGCTCTGTAGGAACAGTCTTGGCCACAGCACCTGTTTCTCCAGGTCATCCTGAGAGTCCACAGGGTCTCCCTCTCACACTATCCTGACTCTGAAGGGCTAGGAGCACACAGTCACAGGTTGATATTAACATTCTGGTAACTCAGAGTTACCTTCCTGTTGGGTAATGGGGTGGGTGAAATAGATGCAGAAATCAAGAGCTTACTTAATGCCACCACTGCCTGAGCTCTTTCTTCTAGGGTCTGCAGTGTTAGGGAGCAGCAAGTATTATGTCATGGCAAATGCTTCGCAATTGGAGAACCTGAGATTAAAGTGTGTTTTTGAAACCTGAAAAGTAAGCCCTCAGAATTAAAAAGCAGGACATTCACTTCATCCACTGCTACAGAGCATAAAGGCCAAAACACCATGCAGCCAAGAGGCGCATGACAGAAAGGTGAAATAGGCCAGCCACACAGGGACAAATGCTGTATGATCTCACTTAGATGAGGAATAGTCCATTCGTAGGGACAGAAAGTAGAATGGTGGCTGGGGGAGGGTTGAGAGTTGTTTAATGGGTGCACAGTTTCCATTTGGGAAGATGAAAATGTCTTGTGGATGGACAGTGGCCTTGGTGGTACAACGTGAAAGTACCAAATACCTCTGAGCCTCACACCTGAGATAATTAAAATGATGAACTTTATGTTACAAATATTTTATCGCAGTTAAAGAACAAAAGAATATCCTGTTCCTCTCACCACAGAAAAAGATATTATAAGTGTATATATCATTAAATATTTTAAAATACACAAAAATAGGTCTCTCTGTGCATCCTATTGTTTATGATGTAGGATCGCCTACAGAGTGAATGTCCTGAATACACAATCTTTTACTCAGTAAATGGATCTTTTTAGTTAAAAGGAAAAACACACACACAAGAAGAAGGAAATGAGCATAAAATGGGACACATAAAACCTGACGACCGAAGCAAGACCAGGCATCAGTCATGCTGTGATGAAAAGGTTTCAAATGGCCCTTCTGAAGGACAGATGCCCTCAGACAGGCCAAAGAAATGAAATGCCTTCTGTGTGACTTCACTGGAGACCAAGGGCAAGGTCCAAGGCCAGAGAGGAGCTCCAGGCAGCATGCAGAGAAGAAGGTGGGCAGGATACCAATTCCCTGCAAAATTCCTGAAGAGGCTCCATAGGCTGCACCAGTGCTGGGCTTGGGAACATGGTCGCTAATGGAGACCACTAGGTGTTCTCAAGAGGACACAAACAGCAGTTAGAAAGCAAGGGACACAAAGAAAAATATGGATGTCAGAGAGGTCCCTGACAGCCCCTCCTGGAGAAGATGGTTCCCCATCTCTAGGAGCCAGGAGGGACCAGGCCTGGGGCAGGGCAGAAGGCAATTCACTGGTATTCGAGTGACTGGCAGGTAGGGTTGGGTTGTGAGGCTCTCCTGCAGCCAGAGAGGGTGGGCGGTCAGCACCTGTTAGGTACACTGCCACTCTCCCCATCCTGAGCCTTCCTTGCTGAGCAGTGCTAACCAAGCTTTAGTTTTCTGTCTTTCTGATGTTCTGACATCCTAGGGCCTTACTGATCCTCTCGAGGTTGACCAACTTCTAAATAATAAAAGGCTCACCCTCCCTTAATTGGGTTTCACACCCCAGACCACCAACTCTCTGCCTTTTGCCTCATGTCTTAGTTACCTTCTTTATTGCTGAAATAAAATGCCTGACACCCAAAGTTAAAGAAAGAATGGTTTATTTAGCTCACAGTTTGTAGAAGTTTCAGTCAATAATTGGCTTCCTCCAAGACAGGATCACATGGAAGAGGAGAAACAGTTCATGGTGGGCAGAAGGTAGCAAAGCCACAATGGAAAACCACAGGTGTTTTTATATTTGTATCTTATCCAAGATATTTAGGGCATGTAGCACTCACACCCTTAATCCCAGCTCCCTTGATCCTAGCATTACACCATGAATCAATTTTAACATCATACACTTGAGAGCCAGCCACCTCTGAAAAAGTCCCACCAATGGCTTAAAACAAGCTTAGTGGCAGGAAATCCACACACTGCATGTGACAGGGACCCAGGTTAGACTTCTCAGCTCCCCTCCCTGTCCTTACAGGTGACACTTTCAGGCATATTTGTCTCCATCTTTATTCCCACCTCTTCTCATCCGTCTTCTGAATAAAGAGTGTTGTCCGTGTCACCTGGAACCACAGTGGGCAGAGCCGCTGGGCCCCCTTACCTGTAGTCTGCTTGTCTGGCACTAATGAAAGAAAACTGAGAAGGAAGCGCATCTCCAAGGTGGAGAAGGGTAAGTAGGAGACTAACAGCCCCAGAGAAAAGAGATGGGGCAGCACCAAGAAGAGGCAAGAGCACTAGCAAAGGTTTAGAGGCTGAGTCCCTCCCAGCACCAGGGTCTGGGCCTGGAATAGCCCAGGGAGGCTCAGTGAGTGATGGGTGTGGATACTCCATCACAGCTGAGCCTAGGGAGAACAGGTGCAGGGAGGAAACTGAGGCAGAGAGGGACGTATGGTCTCAGGTCATGTGGATGCTCTGGGAGGGAGGTGAAACTTGCATGCCAGCATCTTCCTGATTCCGTGGCCACTGGTAGACTCTTTGAGGTACCTTGATTCAGAATCACCCACAAGCTCCAGTCTTCACATGATGCTCTTGCAGCCACTTAGCTTTGTGAGAAACCAGACTTTCTGTGGCCACCTCCACCCTCTTCTTGTTTCAATAAGCAAAGAATGGAGCTGATAGAAGACTACCTCATCAGACCTTCAGCCACTCCTCCTGGCTCCTAGGACTAGTCAAGGAGGACTGGGAGCCTTCAGGCCAGATCTTCATCCTCACGCTTGCCCCATAACCCGCCTTGGGACTGCATGCATATTTATCCTTTCTGCTTCTCTGGAGTCAGTAGATATGAGCCTGTGGTCATCCCAAAGGGCAGGATAGAGATACCACCCAGCACCTGCCACATCTCAGGGGTGCCAAGATCACCAACCAGCCTTGCCTTTGGCTCCCCCACTTTCCTACAGAGCTGCAGTGCTGGCAGGGTGCCCCCAGAACTGCAATGTCACCCCAGAGCCAATGTGATGAGACAAAGAGCACCTTCAAGGTGTACAACTTTGATGACAGGTAAAATTGCATGTTTTTCCTGTTTCCTAAAAATTTTTATTATTTTCATTGTAAATTGCCATATGTGTCATTTTCTGCCCTTTCCATCTTTTTTCCATGTCTCGGGAGCAGAGTTGCGTTCACACTGGTTTATGAGACCTTTGGATGTCAAGCTACCAACCTGTTCTGTGCTGTGAGTAGCAAATATTTCTTTCTAAGAAAATCTGGTTCATGTATCCTAGGGGATCAGACCCAAGCAAGGTGGGGAGGAAACAGCAGACACAGTGTCCCCCTCAGCCCTCAGATGGCAGCTGTGTGCACTTGGCAGCAGAACAGAGTCAGGTGATGGCAGCAGCAGAACTACCTGCAAGCTGTGCCACATACCAGTTGTGGAGCCCTGGACTGTGGCCTTGATCTATCCCCACAGCAGCCTGGGGACAGGGCGACACAGTGGAGCCTGGAATTAGGGCTCTGGTCTGGGAGCGGCAGTGCCAGCATATGAACTTACCTGGGCTTATGCCTACACAGCCTGGACAGCTCACTCCAATTCTAGTGTCCCTCAGGCAAACACTTTGACCCCAAATCACAGATTCACCTGACCTAGAATCAGGGGGCTCCTCCAGATCTAGGAAGGGGATCAGGATTCCCAAATGAAGGTTTTGATTCCCCAGGGGATGGTGCTTGCCCTGGAGACCCTTCCCCACAGCTCCTGCCCCAGGCTAGAGCCAGCTCCCTGAGTGACAGCAATTAAGACCATGGCTGGCAGTACAGCCTGCACCCCCACCCCCAAGAGCACCTGACGTGGCGGCTGCTCCCCGGGGGCTGTTCGCTTCGGCTGTGGCTGAGGCGCTTGGAATGGGCTTCTTTCTGCTGTAAAAATGGAAACATTCCCTATGTGAGACACAAGCTGGCGAGGAGGACGACGCTGAGAAATCACACCCGCAGTGGGGCGGGCGGTGGCTCAGGGCCCTGGGCCTGCCAGGCAGAGGACCGTGTGCGAGAGGCAAGGAGCCAAGAACCTGGGGGTGCAGGAGCGAGGTGCAGGGGCGAGGTGCAGCCCCCTTTCCCCCTCCCTGCCAGCTAGACAACCTCCCTGGAACATGGTCTGGGCACCTCCCTGCCTCCAGCCCCTCTTTTCCTAAAACAGCAACACAGCCGGCTGCATCCGGCTTCCCACTCCCACCCAGAGATTCTAGATCACTGTGAGGGTGTGGGGTGCGGTGCAGAGGGGCTGTCCAGAATGGGAAGAGCAGCTCCCCTCCCTGAAGAGGCAACAGGGATGCAGGAGGTGTCTAGATTTATGCTGCCAGGTGAGGTATATGTTTATGAAACAAGAAAGGCCCCCAGCACCCTAGACTATGCCAGGCCATCTTGGGGGGGGGGGCTCAGAATCAATATGCAAGCCACACCCACACAGAACCTCGACCGCATATCCCCAGCACAGGCCAATACAGGGCTCCTCATCATCCTAACTGTAGACTACAGGCACCCCATCTTCCTGGCTGGGACCCTCCTCCCTAACCCTCCCTCTGCACTGCTCAGTCGCAGTTCGGCACCTTGGATCTGAAATCTTCCTGTAACTGCAGCCAGGCACACCCACAGGCGTAAGGAACACGTGCAGCGCATGTGAAACGCCCCCAGTCAGCCAGCTATTCTCACCTCCAGGTCTACAAGGACACAGCTTGGTGGCCATATGCTGTGGACATTGGCTGGCGGAACTCAGTCCCACAAGGGCCAGGAGAATATGGCAGCCACCTCCGCAGGGTACAGGCAGTGAACCCCTCTGGCAGTTTTACCCTGTGGGCCCTCTCCTGCAGGATTCAGTTATCGTTAGGCCCACTGGGTGGGTAAGTGTGTCCTCCAGCCCTAGAGTCTGTGTTGAGCTCCCACACTACCGATGATCACCCTGTCAACCCTGGATGGCTAGGGATTCCACTTTGAGTGCCCTGGTCTCTAACATCGTCATCCCAGCATTGGGATCCAGAACCTCTGGCAGTGAGACTTCCCCAGTGTTCGGGCTCAGCTGCACTTCCTGCATCCGGTGTAAAAGCAGATGCCAAGGACCCAACGTCAAAGCGGGTGCAAAGCCTGGATCACCTGTACACTCATGTATATACAAACTTACATAATCATGTACCCACATGTTCACCACACACACACACTCTCCCATTTATACAACACACTTGCATGTCCACCCACCCAAGTACTCATATGCATTCACATGCTTACTCACATACATACACACTTTGCACACTCTGCCCATGCACATATACTGATACACTCATATTCATACATGTACCCTTGCATACTCATTCAGCATATTTTGTCTCATTTGCACTCAGGCCATTTGATGAGATTTAGAAACCATTTAGCACCTGCAACTATTGCCAAATACCCCCACCCACATGCCAGGTGGCAGTTATGGCCCATCCACTGCTCTGGACCCTCCCCTGCATCCAGTGACATGATCTGCCCTGCCCCTGTGGAAGCCTTGGATCAACCCAAGAACAGGTAAGGAGTGACCTCAGAAGCTGAGTAACAGTGCATAGCTGCCCACCAGATCAGCACAAGAGAGACTGGGCTCTGTAGGGCTGGCACTCAGCCATTGTCCCTCACTAAGACCCTGGTGGATGTGGGGTGGGAAATGGGGAAGGTGGGACCTGGGCCTTGGCTGGACCTTAGTTCATTGTTGGTGGAGGAAGATGGTAGGAGAGGTGGAAACATCACAGGATGGGAACATCACAAGCTGGAAACATCACAGGGTGGGGTCCCTGTGAAGGGTGAACTTAGCAAGCCTTGCGCTGGGAGAGGCTAGGGATGCCGAAGTAAGACAGCAAAGCCCCTCCCCACATGAAATTCATCCTAGAGATTTCCAAAGGCCTGGAAAACGCATGGTCCCAAGGTAACCTCATCAGGAGTGGCTTCAGGGGACAAGCCAGGCCCAGCACCCAGAGGGGGCCCAACTGGATGGGGTATGGATGGGTCAGACTAGAGTCACTCAAAGCATTGAGAAGAGGCTCTGGAGGCCCCTCTCCTTTCTCTGGCCCTAGCTGGCACCACTAAACATCATGATCAGGATGGACCCAGGACCCCCCAGTTCTGGGAGCAGAAGGACATCGCCAGATGGGCCTCTTCAAGCAGCACAGGGCAGGATCTACACACAGTGGGCTCTAGGTGGCATCAGAGCAGCCAGTTCATGGTGCCAGGCACGATGGTAAACTGCAGCCCAGCAGTGTCCAGTTTGGGAGCAGTCGTGTTTGTGGAGAGGCAACCTCAGGGAGGGGGCAAGACTGAGCTGCAGGCTATGCCCTTCCAGCAATATCATGAGAGCTGTAGCCACAGGCCCTGTACTTTTAAAGGCTGCCAACTGGATGTGACTTTGAGGGTGACGGCAGCCATGTGTTACAGGGCCAAGCTTTGTCATAGGAGCAATGAGCCTGCTGGGGCCCAAGCTAGATGGTTTCCAAGAGGACCTGACCATAGGCAGAGGCTCAGCCATGATGGTGGCCTCCTCAACCAGGGGCAGGCGGAGTGAGTAAGAGCAGAATGGGCAGGGGAAGGGGACAGGAAAGGGAACAGAGAGGGCAGGGCCAAGGAAGGAGGGCCAGGCAGCTCTCACACATCTTCCACCACAGAACAAGTCCCATAGAGGGGAAACCTGGTACCAGGGAAATGGGATGCTTAGGCCAAGACATCTAGATGAGCCACCTGCAGTGCCCATGGCCCCAGCTTGGATCCTGGGCTGGTGGCACCTCCTTCTTGAGTCAGCTGACTCCAGACCCCAGCCCCTGCTCACCTCCAAGTCTGAAGAACCATAGCTAGGTCCAAAGGCCAAGAGTCATTAGCAATTAGTGCAGAGCTTGAGTAAACAGTTTTGTTTACCAAGTTTGTGCTGAGTTTACTCAACCTCAGGAGCCCCTTACACTTTCACTCCCCTCCCTGTGCCCTGAGCACAGCCTGGCTTGCCTGCTTCCACATAGGCTGTCCCACTCTTGGCTGAAGTCTGGAGCCATGCACGGTAGCCTGGGGCCATGCATGGTTAAGTGAAGCAGGACAGTCTACCATCAGGAAGCTCCAGCTGTACAAAAAGGAGGGCTTGGGGGCCCAAGAACAGGACCATAGTGCCACCCACATTTACAAAGCAAGGTGGGGAAAGGGCTCCCAAAGGCTGATGGAAGTTGCTCAGGACTGCATTGGTTGTGGGGAAGGAAGGAAGTTTTGAGGAGGTTGTTGGACTGGATCTGAATGCCCTGACCCCTGTGGCCTACCCTGGCTGCAGACACCAGAGCTCAGAGCCCAGAGTGGTAAGGCTGGGATCTGGTGGGGACTGGGATCTGAAAGATGAAAGTGTTGCTGCCCTGGGTGGGACCACAGTTCCCACCTGGCACTGTCCTGGTCAGTGGCCATGGAGGCCCTGGACTGTTCTTCCCCAATGCCCACCACTACCTAAAGCTTCTGGTTGCTGCTGCAGGAGTGAAGCTCTCAGATGCCCTTTGGTTTCCTGGCTCAGCATTTTCTTATGATTAATTAAGATACCAGGAATGATTGAGAGCCACAGCCGACTGGGTCAACCCTGCTGACGGTTGGGCCACCCTGGCTTGCTTGGGCCAGGCTCTGCTGTTGGATACTGATTTAACCTGAGGACAGAGGACTTCTGCAGCTTTATCTCAATGCTGTGGGCCAAATTCAGGGTGAAGTAGGCTCAAGTACAGCCCTAACAACCATCAGGATTCCCTGCTCCCCTGGTCAGATCCAGAACTCCACATAAGGGTCCTCAACCAAAGCTTGATATCCCAGTCCAATGCAGGATTTTATTTGTGTCACCACCTTTTTTTAGAGAATTCTATATGTTAGGGGCTACGAAAAGATGAAGTGAGTCCTTGACGTTCCCAGGGCCCAGATTTCTAGTTCTGTCCCCCACCTACTAGCTGCAAGGCATTTTCCCAAAATGCATCTTTCCCAAGCTCCAAAGAGGTGGCCTATACCCGGGCCCCCTGGGGATTTACCTGCCACTGTGAGCTCTTCAGGGCTACAACCCAGTCTAGGCCTGATGCTGACTCACCTGCGCTTCTCCCTCCAGCATTTACTGATTCTACACATTGGCAGCCAGGCTGAAAGGCAGGCACAGTAGACATCATATCCTAGCTGCCCAGGAGCCACTGTCAGGAGGCAGGGCATTGCAGAGCCTGTGGGGCCTCCAGCTGTCTTCATAGATCAGCAGTAGAACAAAGAGAACCAACATGCTCAACCTAGTCCACCTCTGGACTTGGGGCCAATTAGCCAGGCAACAAAAAAGGGACAGGGTAGAGCAGTGTGGAAAGCCAGGTAGGGCACTGCCTCTTGCACACCCCATCTGGATCATTACCATCCCTACCTGTGCCTTTCTAAAGCTGCTCATCATCTGCTATTTGCTGATGTGTTTGTCATATGCATGAATGAAAGAAAGAATGAATGAATCACTGGCTCATCCCTTTCCTGGAATTGCTCCAAAGTCATTGAGACTCAGAGGCCAGAGGACTGGTCTGGTGTCACACAAGTGGTGGGGACAAGGGTCAGCCCTTGGTTCACCTGGCCAGAGGTGACAAGACTTTTGTAGTCAAGGCCCCTCTACCACAGGCCAGACAGGAGTGGAATCTCAGGCCTGTTTCCACATCCAGCTCACCCAACCTGCCCCATGACCACCGCTTTGTCCCTTACAATTGGCCCATAGCTCTCCTATCATTTCTTACCTGTTCCCCTGGCCACCTCACATGGGAGTTGACTGCCTGATAGAGAGCAGCATTTAAGTGCCCAGGGGAAAAAAATCAATTCACTTGGTTCCACTTTAATCCATCAGTTCCATTTCTGATAAATGTCCCCGTACCGAGGTCACCACAGAGCTACGGTACCCAGCAGACATTACTTGCTAAGTCAGAAAAGCTGAAGCAAACAAGAGTCCAGTGAGCAGGGGTTTTCCTGGGGCTTCGGCTCAGGGCCAGCAGCCCCACAGCCCTTCCTTTCCACACAGGTACAGTCTGGCCGACTTCAAGAGTTCCCCCACTTGGGGGCCCTGCCTGGGCTGAGAAGGTAGGGAGGTGAGCACAACCCCTTCCTGCGGTGGGGGGCTCCCTGGGCCTGGTTGGTGGACTACTGAGGTGGGACATCTGTGATCCTCCTGTGTCTGACCAGAAACCAAAGCCTCAGGGCCCCTGCAGACTCAATTTCAACACTTCCCTGCAGTATCCTCACATCTTAGCCCACACGAGGCTGGACAGAGTGGCTAGACCACATAGCCAGTGCCCTGACGCTGCCCTGGGCCCCTTCCTTTCCTGAGCCTTGGTACCCTGCCCTCCATCGCTCTCTCAGACCCCTTCCCTTCACCCCAGGTCTTGAAGCCACATAAAGTCCCAGGCAGAACTGCTGAGAGACAGAGCCAAGAGACCAGATAAAGGAAAGGGAGAACCCTAAGAACGGAGAAGGTCAACCCCAGGAAGGAGCAGAGGGAGGCTGTAGCTCATTCTGGGCATCTGTTGCATTCTCCAGGTACCTGGGCTTGTCCTACTGAAAGGAGTGTCTTCTTCTCTGCCCCTGTTCACCCACTACTCCATGCTGAGATACCCTGCATGGGCCTATGCTCTGACCAGCTAGCCCTAGGTCAGAGGACTGGTCTGGTGTCACACAAGTGGTGGGGGCAAGGGTCAGCCCTTGGTTCACCTGGCCAGACGTGACAAGAGGTCTAGAATGAGCCCCAGGGCCCTCCCAGTGTGGCCTCAGGATGTGTGTGTGGCATAGTAGGCCCTCAGCTGATGGAACTGCGATGTGCAATGAGCCCACCTGCCTCTCCCACCGTGACCTCTCACGCCCCAGGCATGCAGAGATCAGCCCCCACCTCCAACCCCTCTACCAGGCTGAATGAGCTCAGCTCTCTCACCATGAACTGGTGGCACTGCTGGATGGGATTAATCGGGACACACGGCTGCTGCTGCATAGGGCCCCACAGAGGAATGAGCTGGCGCTAGAGGACGAGTGGATTAGACTCAGGGTCAATATTTGTGGAATTGAATTGAATCCGTCAACTGGGAGCCATGTGTGTTCTGGGTAGTTTTGCAGTTTCTGCCTCAGGCAGGAAAGATCCAGCAGTTGGGCCTCTCAAAGGCCACAGAGCACAACTCTAGGGCAAGAGGCCTTGGGGCCCTGTGTTCTCACAGCCAAGCCAGAGCAGGATAGGGACAGGAAACCCCTACAGGTGCTGACAAGCGCCAGGGATTGACTGTGGTTCCAGGCTATGGAGAACTGGCCCCGTCTCCCAGGGACATGGAAGCCCCACCTCCCACGCCTTGTGCCTGGCTGGTCCTTTAGGAAATGGAGTGGGGAGGACAGAATCTGGTCTCTCACAGAGTTAGGTTTAGGGATGAAGACTGCACTGTTCTGGCTACTGTCTGGAGAGGACAAATGGGGTGACAGTGTGAGGGCCAGGGGACAGCAAGAAGCCAGTCAGCATGGGCCCATGTGAAGGCTGCTGTGTCTGTGGCCAGCATTCTCAGCCGAGTTTCCTGGCCACTGCCCTCACTCTGTAGCAAGAGACCTGGTGAGACTGTGAAGGGACAGGTGGCTGCCCCAAGACCCCACCCTCTCTCCCAAAACAGATTCTGCCCCAGCTTCTCCTGCTTGGACCTGTAGGTGTCAGAGACTGAGCCATTGCCCACCTTCAGTCCCCAAAACCCTAATTGGATTAGTCCTGTTTAGAAAGCAGCAAAGCTGCTTATATTTGAGCAAGGGCTCAGCAGATTATGCTAGGCCAAGGGTGTCTGTCTATGCACAGGGAGATTCAGGAGGGAAACTGTCACCAAACAAGTGTTAATTAAAAGCAAACTCGCAGATGATAGGCCCAGCCTCCACTGGCCCAGTAAATATTTTGTTCTGTGCGGGACTCTGGGGGGGAGGGGGCGGGTCTCAGGCAGAGGCCCAGGCCCAGGCCCAGGGTACTGGGTCCAAGGACACAGTGTGGAGCCAGTAAAAAGTACAGGGTCATGGGTATCCAGGACTACTCACACGGAGTGTGGACCTGACAGAGGGTAGCTTAGGTCACCCTGGTTCTTGTAACTCAATCTCCTTCCCTGTGACTCTCTCAAAAGTACTGGCATTTGGAGTGTGACACTATTACATTAATTCCAGCAACTGGGAAAGCCTATGAAGCCAGTGTCCCCTAGACTGGCTCCTGCCAGAGCCCAGAAGGTACACTGAGGCAGATTGGACTAGAACTCTACTCAGGAGAACAGAGCCTGGACATGACAGGTGAGTGGGCCATAGACTGGTGCCCAGAGAGGCCTCTGTGCCCCTCCTCCTGGTCCTGCCCTGCAGCAGGCACTGCATTAGAAAATTTGCCTGGGACAGGGCATGGTAGTACAAGCCTATCATTCTTGCTACTCCAGAGACTGAGGCAGGAGGATCCAAAGCTCAAAAGCAGCCTGGGTAACTTACTGAGACCCTGTCTTAAATTTTTAGAAAGAGCTGGGGGGTGTGATTCAGTGGTATTTGCTTCTTTGCAGCGGAGAGATTTATTTCATTTTTATGAAACAAGATTCTGCCTTCCTCTTCCATCCCAGCCCAGCCTTGAAAGGGTCATCTAGACAGTTTTCTCTCTATTTTTTATTTTGGCTTTGAGAGAAAAGGTACGAAAATATGCAACTGTATCATGGTGAGGCCCCAGGGACAGCACAGGCCTGTGGTCACTGAGAGCCCTCTACAGATTAAACCACCTTAGGAAGGAACTGTGCCCTGCACAATCAGGGCTCTGCAGCCATTTTGCCCTGAGGAGCAGCTAGCTGCCCCCAGGGCCTGGCAGCCAAGAGCAGCCGGCTGGAGGGTGAGGGTGCCTCCCTGCCTCCTTGCTGGAGTAGGGATACAGAGAGAAATGAAAAAGAAAGAGCACACTGGAAGAGGCCAGATTCCCCTGCAGACATGGGGTGCTCCTGGGATGGAGCTGAGGCTCTCGGTAAGAGGAGTGACTGAGGAGGCACCCCAGTCCTCGCACCAGCCCTCCACTTCAGCCCCAGCCCATCAGCTTCAGCGGATCCCCCAGTGAGCCAGGGCCATCAATTATTCAGCTTCTGCCTCTCAGCCTTCTCTCAGTTAGTACCTCGTAAAGCCAGGGAAGATAAATCTCGCTCAGTTTGCTTCTGCGGCGCTGACAGGGAGCAGGGTGAGCACGGACAAAGGCAGGGCCTGTCGTGTCCCCCCCCCCCCAACCCCGCTACCCCAGCCTCCTGGGGCCCTGAGCCAGCACGGAACCTCCCGAGCAGCCCTGCAAGCCTCCTCTGCTATTAAATCCATAATTCAGCGGAGACTCAACAGAGTGCGGTGGGATCAGTCCCCATGATGAGGAAAGGGCCACCCATCCGAGAACCGCAAGAAAGGCTGAGGTGAGGGCAGACGCTGGCCGCACGTAGGTCTCAGTTTTCGGGGGCTGCATTTAAATCTGAAGAGTCCCAGGCACTGCTCCTGGGGAACCATGGGGCCTGAAAGCTCACAGGGAGACCAGAGAGGATTCTACAAGGGCCAAGGCAGCCGAGGAGCAAGCAAGGAACAGGAGGAAACCCTGGGCCTGTCTGCCTGCTCCAGCCATGCCCAGGGTGTGCAGCATAAAGCTGCCCTGGACTCGGAGCAGCCAGAGAGACCAAGGACCTTCCAGACCACTCAAGTGTGACGCTTGTAGCTCTGAGCCTGCAGAAAGACACGTATCCCCATGAAAATTGATGACTTGAACAATCTGACATCTTGGAGGGTCCAGGTTAGTCCTCCACCCCAAACCCCAGCCCTGTATATCCCAGGAGAGGGTTTGCTGAGTGAATGAGTCTTACAACCTGCCTCCAGTCTCTATGGATCTTGGGATGGTCTGGCAGGAAGTGGAATGTGGGTAAAGGGGTGGATGGTCCCAAGGCACCAAGACTGGGGTGGGCTGGGGAGGAGCATAGGGAGCATAGGCTGCAAGCTCTCAGGCCCCTGCTCTCGGCAGCAGAACCACATGCACCCTGGCAGATTTCTCTGTCCCGTTCTTCTTCAAATCTGCTGGTTACATAGCAAGACTTAGGCTCCAAAAATCCAGTTTCTCCAGGGCAATGGAGGCTGGTAGAGAAGCCCGACTGACTGCTTCCAGCCCTCTATCCGCTATTCCCTTCCCCACAGCCCAATCCCTAGGCCTCCACAGGGCAGGGGCCATGATGGGGCTGACCAGGGCTGGAGGGGCTACCGAGTCCCTGTAATTAGCAGTAATAAGTTGGGCACTGGGCACACGCCTTGGTTGAGTGCTAATCGAGACTGATAATTACTGTGACAAGCCAGAAAGTGGTCCAACCCCTCCTCTGCCTGTCCATTAATCCTCTAAACACAGCACTTGCCGCGCCCTGCAGCTGGGTTGTGCTTCAGCCATAATGATGACACAGCTGTTGTGTGGGAGAAGCTGGGCCCACACAAGGGACACCCCCATTTCAGACTGGGGCTCAGGTGGGGAGCCTCCCCAGCCCTCCAGAGGTCACCTGCCCCACTCAAAGGGTCCCTCTCATTCACCATTCTTGCAGTGTTCTTAACTTGCTACATTGTATCCCCAGGGACAGGGATGCACAGAGGTTGTCCCAGTCCTGATCACAGCAGATCAGGCTCTGGAAACTCTACCTTGAACCTCTGCTTCCCACTTTGCCTCTAAGACTTGTGCTGACCCTGGTTTGCTTGAAGTTTGCTCCCAGAGGACAGCCCACTCTGTCACTCAGCCCATAACCAGTTTAGGTGTTCACTGGCTCCACACTGTGTCCTCAGTCCCAGTGGCCTAGGCCTGGCCCTGATCCTCTTCCTATAACCCCTCAAGAAGCCCAAACATGAGAAAGCATTTACTGGGCCAGTGGCGGCTGAGCCTATCATCTGCTGAGTTTGTTTTTAGTTAACACCTGTTTGGTGGCATTATCCTCCTGAATCTTTCTGTGTACACTGACAACCTGGTACCTACTTCTGCCATAGCTTCAAGCCCTTCTCTATATAGGATGTCCTGGACAAAGCAGATCCAACCCCTCCCTCCCTCTAAGCCTCAGCCTCTGTCAATGTGGCCAGTGCTGGTAACCAGTCATATGGGGGATGCATGTGATCCTGTAGCTGAGTTCTCTCCATGACAAGCTAAGCCTGAATTGCTTCACTTGCGGCCAAGGATGGGACCAGTGTATTGCTATGTGGCTCTATCTTGTCCTAGTCATGCGCCAGCCTTGTCTTGGTCCCCATCCATGCCTGGCTTGGAAATAGCTCTGCAGTGACCCAAAGATCTCTTGCTTTACCTGCCCTAAGATAGGAGCTTACGGGGCTGGAGACTTAGCTCAGTGGCATAAGCACCTGCCTTGCAAGCAGGCGGTCATGAGTTCGATCCCTGGTACTGGAAAAAAGGAAAGAAAAAAAAAAAAAAAAAAGATAGGAGCTTACCCTAGAGGCCTGGTCCGCATCCTGCACAGTCCTTCCTTGGGAGCTGCCTCCTCTCACTGTGTCACCCAGCTGGCTGTAAGTAAAGAATGAAACTACTAGGGCCAGGGAAGATTGTGTCTCAGGCTTACCCACCAGTGGCCACCCCACGGACTGCTAGTGTTGCAGAGGAGCAGGACAAGCTCCTCCTGTGCTCTGCCCCCATCCCACACCAAGGCCTCTGCTGCCCAGAAGTCAAGAAATGTAACCTGGGCCACTGTAGGTGCATTCTCTGCAGGAGCGGGAGACGAAGGAAGGAAACAACAAGATGCTCCTCTCAGAACTTCCTGGACCCTGCAGGGCCACCTCACTGCCCAGTTGCTAGAGCACAAATGTTCAGCTTAAGTCTATCACTCTCCAAAGACTCTGTTGCTCTCATAATGGAAGGTCCACACTTTAGCACGGAAATTTATAGGGACCCCCAAACCCACGGAGGGGCTACAGAGTATGAGACAGAAGGAAGAACTTGCTAGGGGTGGTGACCCACGCTTGTAATCCTAGCACTATGAAGGCTGAGGCAGGAAGATCACTGTGAGTAGGAGGCCATCCTGGGTTACATAATGATTTTAAAACCAGCCGGAATTACAGATAGAGACCTTGTCACAAAAAAAAGAAGGTAAAAGAAAAGAAAGAGAAAAAAAAGAGGCAAAAAAAAGGGGGCTGGAGATTTAGCTCAGCGGCATAAGCACCTGCCTTCAAGTAAGCAGTCGTGAGTTCGATCCCCGGTACCGATAAAAAGGAAAAAGACAAAAAAAAAAAAAAAAAAAAAAAAAAAAAGAAAGAAAGAAAGAAAAAAGAAAAGAAAGAGGAGGAAAAGGATGAGGTGTGTTATGGATTAAGAACTGGTGGTCAACTTAACGCCAGCTGGATTCCATCAGCATGGCACTGAGCGAAGATGCTCCACCTGAGGAAAGTTGCCAGCATAAATAGGTGGAGAAGGAGAAGGAGGATGTTAAGGCATTGAGGCGTTAATGCATTGTTGCATTGAGGCATTGCGGGTTCTCCTACGAGTTTGAGACATTGGTTCTCCTGGAGAAGCTTTGTTCCTCACATCAAGCATTGCTTCCTGGCTCCAGAGGGGAAGACATGTGCTGCTTGGTCTCCAGGATGAACTCGTCACCCTGACTGGCTTCCTGGCAGGTACTCGACTGTGCTTGTTGTCGGAGGAGCTTGGGGCCTCTGTGTGGCTAAGGATGGCTGTGGTGCCTTTCAGGACAGCCCTGATCTTTTTGTGTGACTTCTCAGCTCCAGTTCAATCTACCAGCACAGCTCCTTCACCCCACTGGCATGGACTTTCTGGCTTCCACTGCTGACCTTTGGGCCTTCCCAGCACAGATCCATAAAGAGACTGGCGTGAGTCCTTCTTGTGGGCTCTGGACCTCCTGTTGGACTCAGGGGAGGCATTGACATGAGCTCTGAGTTTTCATCCGAACTCATGTGGAACATTGCTGTGGGATTTAGGCCCTTGACTAAATATTCTATGTCTTTGGTGTTGCAGATAGATTTCCTGCATTTTCTTGTGTTAACTCCTGGTGACCATTATAAAAATATTATAAACTCCATGTCCTGATTCTAATTGTTCTCTGCACAACCCCTGACTACAACAAGGCAGAAGAGGAGAACTCAGCCTTGTGACAAAGGGGTCCAGGAAGTCTTGGGGAGGAAACACTTTTGAAACATAGTAGGAAGACCTCCTACCCACCAGGACCTGCTCTTGACACGTATTACCCTCAGTGACTGATAATCCACCTTATAGGTAAAGTAGCTGAGGCTCCAAGATGGGCAAAGGCTTAGCTGGCATCTTTCATGTAAGCAGCGATTGGATTCACACCCAAGACCATCTGCATTGGAACTCATCCATACATGTCCCCTGTGGGTGAGGACAAAAGCGTGGCCTCCTCCCAACAGGCCAGCAAACACTGGTGCCCTGAAGTGGGAGGGGTGCCAGTAGACCAGGCAGAATGGAGGCAGGCTCCTCTGGGAGCACGAAGGTCCCAACTGTCTTCGGTATGTCTCTCCTGCTGCCATGGGTTCAGTCCAGGCCTGGACATGCAGCCCTCCGTGCTGGTCATCATCCACACTTCAGGCCATGATGAAGCTCTTGCTATAGTTTACATTGGTTGATTGATTGACTGATAGTGCTAGTGGGCACTGAACCCAGGGCCATCACAGTGAGCTCTACATCCCCAGCCCTTTTTATTGTTTATTTTGAGACAGGATCTCACTAATTTGCCCAGGCACGGCTCCAAATTGTGATTCTTTTGTCTCAGTCCTTCAAGTAGGTAGGATTACAGGTGTGCACCACCACATCCAGCAATGGTTTGGATTTTAAATAGTCCCCAAAGGCTATGTGTTAGAGGCAAGGAAACATAGGAAACACAGGAAATGGTGAAGACTCTAGGAGACAGGACAAAGTTGGAAGAGGTGAGTCATTCTGGACTGCATGTCCTTGAAGAGAGTATCTTGTCCTAGCTCCTGACATGCGCACTAACACACAGTCTCTCTGTCTTTGTGTGTCTGTGTCTGTCTATTTCTCTGTCTGTCTGTCTCTCTCTCTCTCTCTCTCTCTCTCTCTCTCTCTCTTTCTCTCTCGCTCTCTTCCCACGAGCTGATTTGCTGCTTTGTTCCATCTTGCCCTTCCTATGTCACCACCTTCCCAGAAACATTGGAACCGAGCAACCATGAACTGAAATCAATAAAACTGTAAGTCAAGAATCAAAATAAACGTGTCCTCTCTTAAGGTGTTTTTCTCAGGTATTTTGTCACAGTGAAGGGAAACTGACTAATACGTCTCTGAAGCAAATGACTGACTACTCACACCGCCGGTCTTTAGTGCACTCAAACTCATCTTTCAAAGATCAGTTTCCATCCCCACTCTTGTGATCAGGGGTTTTTATCTCTCCTTTCTATGAGGCCCACCAAGCAGGACTAAAGACTGCCCTGGGCATAATAGGGAGGTCTAGTTACCACCCAGCTCTGTCACTTGCCCCCACTCATATCTTATATCCAGTATCCTGAACACAAGGCACAGTTCGAATGTGTATCCTCCAGAACAGACGTGCCCTCCGCCCCAGTCAGTAATCACTCCAAGAGTGTTCTAGGGTCCCCAGCTCACCCTACACACTGCTCCAGCTTCCATGTTCTTCCCCCATCTCTATCTTTTCTCACACAGTGAAGGTCCATCTCCTTGCTTCACAGCCCGCAGGTAGCCATGCCAGCGTCTTAGCCCTCAGGAGGGGTAGCCTCCAGGCTGTAAAGAAAAGCTTGCACCAGAAGGAAGGGAAGGAGGAAAGGTGGGAGGAGGAGAAAGGGAAGAAAAGAGGTAGGGAGGAAGAAGGAAAAAAGGGAGGGAAGCCCCCGGGCACCCTGTGGACCGGAGGTGGGGGCAGACTCCCCATGTGGAATAGGGGCTAAGACAGCGCTAACAGAACAGAACAGGAAGTAAAGAGAGGTAAATATTTACTGAATCCCCAGTGGGAAAGAACTTTCTAAGAATAAAAGCAAAGATGAGTATACTACACAGAAGCTAAATTCTCAGGTGACTACAAAGAAAACATCAAGTTAAAAGGCAAGCAATGAGTCGGGTAAATTTTTGACACTAACGTGACAAAAAATTAATACCATTAACATGGCATAAGCTGATCTGAAGCAAAAACATCACAGAAGACGTGAGTGTACTACAGATGAGGTGGCACAGATGGTTGCACTCTGGTGATGTGAGCTGTGCAAAACAGGGGCCTCGCCCCCATGTGAACCCCACCAAACACCTCTGAAAGCACCAGGCCACTTTGACAGGCCCCACAGAAGTCCCTCCTCAGCCAAATCCACAGATAAACAGGGTAGGCCCAGAGGTGATAGGATCAGACGTGCCCAGAGTAGTGAGATGCTTAGCCTCCGACCCGGGAGCACCCTCCCCTGCAATCTGTGCCAGTCAGTACTCAGAGGGGCAGAGTTAACCACTCTGGCTCAAATGGAAGCCACAGCATTACTTATAATTACAAAAAAGACAGAACCATCTACAATATCCAACAATGAGAAGCATCTCCATCAGTGCTGGGGAAGCCAGCCACACTATGGAATATCACCTACACAGATGTTGATGATGGAATTCAACAGCATGACACACATGCAAAGGATGGACAATTTTGGACTCACATGCAAACTTGGCAGAAGTACTCAGCACAAGATTGGAAAAGGGAAAGAAATTGCAATTAACAATAAGGTCTTCATTATTTAAAATAAACTTAAGTAACTGACAGAAAAGGATTCTTGGAGGTACCCTGGTCAAAACCAAAGTCAGCTTGCAGGATCTTCTGCATCAAGCTGGTTTTCCCAGGCTTGGGTCATCTGGGCCACTGGAAAGACATCTTGGCTCCTGAATGAGGGACAGCACAGAGTGGGATGAATGGGTGGCCAGGCGCCAGGTAAATAGAAGGTAAATGAATGAGTAGACAGACACAGGGATGGATGGATGTTGAGATGAGTGAACAGAGTGGATGAGTAGGTAGATGGATAAGTGGACAAGTAGGTAGATAGATGAAAATATGGATATATGGTGGTGGGTTGGTTGGGTAGACAAGTGTATAGATTACTGGATGGATGGATCGAGCAATTGATCAATTGACTGGTGGAAGGATAGATAGAGGAACGGTTGGATAGAAGAATGGGTAAGGTCCTCTGGTGGATGAGGGTTAGTCATTGACCTCTCCCCTTGACTGACCTTTTGCTGCTCCCTCTCAGGAGCTATCCTAGCCCATCTTGCCCCAGGGAACATATAGCCCTTTGCTACAGACTCTGCCCTGCACCCCTAACCAGCCCCCAGGTGGCTGCACCTCCCCTTTGCTTTGTTATCTTTGGAATAGTCAATATACAGAAGGACCAGCCCCCCATGGCCACCATAAATCCTGCCTCTCTCCTATACCCAATCAATCTTCAGTCAGCTCAAAGCCCCTGAATATCTCCACAGCTCAGCCCAGCTGTGGGAGCTGCCGGCTCTGGGTGCCACTGGCTACATATATTGAACTTGAAGCATCGGATTACATGTTTGTTCAATAGCAATAAACTCCCAAAGTTTTATGAGGTTATAAAATCGCTGCCTCGGCTCCTACTTAGACCGTGTGTAATGTACACAGGCTGGTTTCCCCACTAATGGGGCAGCGTGAGTGATTTGGGGATGTTAGTTGGAAACAGCACATCTGCATTTGCCAAATTCTCATAAATAAAGTGGTCCCACTGGAGCACACCAGACCCGGCCTTGAAGTTCAAGGGGAGGAAGCAGCAGAGTAAGTCAGAGCAATGAGCAGTGATTAGAGAAGGAAGGAAACATATGGGGGGTGGTGACAGTGTGAGGAGGGTAAACAGGGCTCAGCACAGACACCCACCCACCTAGATGGCATCCCTGAGCCCGTCCCCCTCAGCTACACCCTTAGGATGACTGTGAGGCTGGCTGGCTTCCTTCCAGGGACTGTATCCCCAACCACATTCTCTAGGAAAGGACAGGTCCATGCAAGCGGGAGCTCAGAAGAAGTGAGGGTGCAATGGTGGACAGTGACAGAGAAGGAAAGACAAGAGTTCCAGGCAGATGAGCGGTGTGTACAAAATCCCCAATACAGGGGCATGGTGAGAGTGGGAGGACCCCATGGGCCCAGAGACATTCAGAAATTTGGAGTAGATTGGGCGAAGAGATCAGAAAGATGGAGGGGACAGGCCTTGTGTGTGTGCGTTTGATGGGAACGGTCTGCCTCTGTGGCTCCTAGGACCAGGTGAGGTGCTATGAAGGCAAGAGATGGAAGAGGTGGCTTAGGAGGTGGAGAGCTCCTACCTCAGGGGAATAGAAACCTCAAGGGGCAAAGCCTTGTTACAGTCTCTGAATGCCCTGGACTTGCAGCTCTCAGATGGAGACCTGCTGAGATGCAGGACGGGACAGGAAGAGGCAGCCATGCATCTGAGAGCTCAGCACAGGGGAGATCACCTGGCTGGGTGCTGCTTGTCAAATCCTTTGGCTGTGACCAGGTGAGTGCTTGGGGTCAGTGTTTACCAAGCCCTCCCTGTCTCAGCCCCTCAGGAGCCTCTAGCCATGGCACTGGCACTCTGGATATGTGGCCGGTCCTGTTTCAGGCCCTCCATGGCTCTTCCTTGATGCTGGAGTTAGGCACGTGTATGACTTTGCCCTGATCCTTGTAACTTTGCTATCGACCCAAGTCCTCAGAAGCACATCGATTTACCTGAATCAATATTTATTGCAGCTTCAAAGGCTGGGGGCAGGGTGAGACCTGAGGCCTGATGAATGGAAGCAACACAGCCTGTGAGTGGGACTATGCAGCCAAGCGGGGAGACACCTACCTTACTCCTCCAGTAGGGCCTGCCACCTTATAAACAGCCTGCCCAGGCAGATACAGGGCCAGGTGACATGGATTTCTGGCTCCTGGGCTGGGCTTGTTCACTCTAGAGACATCCTGGAATCCTGTTCAAAGGGGTCTGTTTGCTTATTTTTTGGAGCTAGAGGTGAGCTTCCAAGGATCCTAGCTACTCTGGGATTAATTTTTTCCAGTGGAAACCCTCCCTTCTATAACCCACTCTGGAAGCCCAGAGGAGTTTGGGAGGTATGGGCAGGCCTCAGGGTGAGGTCCTGGCATCTCCAACTCCCTGTCTACACAGGGAACCTGGGCAGGCACTGTCTTTGCTCTAGACAGAGCCGCCCTCACATTCAGCCTTAGGCCAGGTGCAGAGTTCTTTCTGGAGCCCCTAAGCTCTGGCAGCAGGCTTGACTTGGCCCATGAGGCTTCTCCAAGCACTGTCAGGGAGTGAGGCAGGTCCTGAGATGGCAGCTGTTTAGCAAAGTGGGCAGAGGCTTCCTTCAGGTTGAAGGCCTACAGGCAGGGGCTCTGATCGGATGCATTTTTGTTCATTCCTGTGGTGTAAATGCTCCAAGTAGACTCCAAGTTACAAGTGGAATCTCTTCTGGAGGATATGGAACAGACTCACCCAAACGGTCCAATCTCACCAGGAGAGGCAGCTGCAGCACACCACAGGCTACAGGAAAGAGGCCCCATGGCAGCTGCTACCTGCATTGGAGGCCTTAGCCCAAGGCTCAGGCAAAGCAAAGGTTCAGAGGGGATAGGGGGCAGGTAGCCCTTGGCCTGCACAGCACCAAGAAACTCAAGGCCGAGGACTTGCAGCTGATTTCAGCACTTTGTGAGGGACAGCCCGTGGAGGCAGCACTCACTGCTTCAAACACACAGAGCTCAAGTCATGAAGACCCTCAGGACAGGAAGATGGGACAGGCTGACCCATTCCTCTGAAGGCAACAAGAAAAAAAATGGTGCTGTCCCTGTAGTATTGGCCACAGGCTGCCAGTCACCCCTCGGAAGAGGAAGATCTTCTCCATTTCCACCTGCCCCATGACTCACTTCTCTCCTTCCAAGGGTCCATAAAGGCCTGGAACTACAGCACTGTAAGGAGCCATCCCTGGAAAGTCCAGTTTCCCTGAAGATACTGCAATAGGTTTGAGCTAAAGGGCAGTCCTGTTGCTCTTTGGAGCTTAAAACTTCAGTCTTCTAATTTGCAAGACATCCCAAGAGGCCAGGTAGGTGGGCCATGGACTCCCTAAACACGCTTCCTTTCCTAACACCCAGCTGGCCCCAGTCTCCTAGACAGGATGAATGGAAGGAGAATTTGGCTAGGACAAGGATGCAAATGACAGCCTTAGCTACTAAGAGGATCTCC